GAGTGTGGTGGTGCCTCACGGTGTGGATTCAGGCTCACCCACGCAGAAGGAAGTGCTTAGCCTGAAGGTGGCAGGGACTGTGTGCCCTCTCTGCCTAGTGCCCTGTCTTGGTGTTCTGCAGGCCTCGAAGAGTGCATGTGGTGTGCAATAGCGAAGGGTTTTCACACCAAGGCTCTCCACACTGGAAAAGCAGTGTTGCACAGCTCACACTGGGTAGGATGGTCTGCATGCTCATTGGTGTGTGCATTGTAGAGTTCTGGACGTCTTTTGAAGGTGAAGTTGTGCGTTCACATTAGTAGACAAGTGGACGTTGATATAAAATAAGACAAGGAAATGAAAAACTAATGATGGTATATGGAAAGGTATGAAGACCTCATTGTAGCACTTGACAGCTAGGCCTGTTTTTAACATTCAGTACCTGTGACATAGAGATCACTGGGGCTGTCTGGCCCCAGAAGAGGTTCTCTCTGATCACCTATTGCACTGGAGTTTCCTCGTGACTAGCTAAAAGTCCGCATGATGGTCCCTTCCCCAGATGCCGTAACCTGTGTGTGCTTTACAGTCACTCATTGCTGCTCTGTCTCTGCCTATCAGCAACAGGCAGGGCCTCAGGCCTTCTGAAGCTTTCCCTGCCCTTCGCCCCATAGACGCCAGCACATGCTGTTGACCAAGCCTGGTACTGTCAGGGAAGGCCTCCTCATTCGAGAGTCCTGTGGCTTATGGCAGCTCTAGCCTGAGCCAGCAGCTCTGTATCCCCTTCAGCAGCCTCTGCTGCCCTCCCTGCCAGCTGTCCTCCAGGTTTCTTTCCCAGTATGCTGTCCACCTCTCTCCTAAGCTGTGAGCCTTCTGAAGGTTCTTGCTGTCCCCAGTTGGTGCCTGCTGGAGCTGCTTGGCTGAACAATGAGTGAACCAAAAGGGCTCAAATGGGGCCTGAACCGAAAAGGACCCTGTTCAGTGAAGGCAGAGACTAAAGAATAGCATGTTGGTACTGGGAGGTTTGACACTAGCTTCTATTTCACAGCAGCTAACTGTAACATTACCTAGATGCCAATGATCTGTGTGCTGTTTCTCTCCAAGGTGCTTCATCAAAACCATCTCATTAATTCTCATAAAAATTTTCCAGGGAAGTGAGAAAGCAGAATGCATTTTTTTTATAGCATGAAACAATGAGACATCAAAGCTGCTGAACCTGCACCTTTGGAGGCTGACACAATTTACTCTGGCTCCTGGAGCCACAGGTGTGGAACTCACTCCTGTCATCAAGGTGCACCTCCCATTCACTCCTTGTATTCTTCTGACATGTGGTTCTCACCCCCACCTTCCCACTCCCATCTATTTGTGACTCCATGTGTCACATCCAGGTTCACAGATGATTTCAGAACTGGGGTGCCAGCAAATCCTGTCAAACAATCTAACCAGATTCAAAGGGATTTGGATCATTTGCGTAATTGGGCTAGCAGATGGTAAATGTAGTTCAAAGTACAAAAATGTAGAATAATTACAAGGGGAGAAAGTAACACAGATTATGTATGAGGGAAGCGATTCAGAGGCAAAGCTAACTGAAATCAGTGTTTTGATGTGTTAGAAGGACACACAGCCCAGCTCTGGCTCATGGAGAAGGAGCACATACTGATCTGCTGCTGACTCTTGAGGACTGGTCTGTCTTCTGGAAGTGAGGAGGAGATAGCTGGGGTTGAGACGATCCTGGATGGTGACAACTGGGGAGAAAGTGGGCATGATCACTCATAAGTCAGACATTTCTGTGTCCACACTTAAGCTGTCTCTCTCTTACCTGTGTGACTCTGGGAGAGAATCTCTTTCCCAGGACCCTCAGTTTCCTCTCCTGCAAAGGGAGCCCACTTCCCTGCTGCTTTGAAGAATCTGTGTGGTAATGGGTATGAGAAATACAAGCAACTTGTTATGGAAACCTAGAAAACTTACTTATGTATATTACTTCTATATCTACAGTGCCAATAATAATAATCCAGTGGTTTCAATGAAGTAAAGAGGAAATATTTTTTTTTAAACTGGTATGATGTGTTCTAATATCCAGAACCAGATGTGACTAAGGGTCTAGAGGAGAAGCTTATCTTGGATTATGTAGGTGGGCACTAACTGCAACCACAAGTGTTTTTGAGAAGGAGGCTGAGGACTGGGTATGTAGCTCAGTGGTAGAGTGCTTACTTAGCATGATGAGGCCCTGGGTTCAATTCCCAGCACTGGGAGTTTAAAATAAAGAAAAAGAAAAGAAAAGTAGGTAGAGGGCATCTTGATAGAAGAAGAGTGATCAGAGGTAGAGGGAGGAGTGATGTGGCCACAAGCAAGAAATACTGCAGCCACTGGAAGCTTGGACAAAGTAAGGATCGGATAATCTCCTAGAGCCTCAGAAGGTAGACAGCCCTGATAACCCCCTGATTTCTGCCTGGTAAGACTGACTACAAACTTCTGGTCTCCAGAACTTGGAGATAATGTAGTTTTTCTGTTTTAGATCATTGAATTTGTTACCGCCTCATCAGAAACACAAACAAGCAGAAGTAAAACCTGACTGGTACATGAATGATCAGAATTGAATTCGGGCTCAGATATTTGCATCTGTGGAACCCCTGACTGCCTGTCTCGACTTTGACTTTGTCATCTTTGACATGGACAGTAACATTCAATATCTCTGGATTATGAGAGAAGTACCTAAAATCAATAATGCATGTACCCTATCCACTAGACATCTAAAAATGCAACTGGCACAGTGTTAGGTTTCTGCCTAAGCACATGTAGGTGGCACCTACAATTCCAGAGCCCCTGCCATCATGTTTTGTGGATTAGTGGTGGCAGTCAGCCTCCAAAGGTGGCTGGGAGGATGAACACAGCAGAGAGCTTCTTTGCTGAAGGCAGGGCCATGGATTCCAGGTAGGGACTGAGGTCAGCTCTGTCTGAGAGAAACTTTGAGTGCTGAGAAAAGTATCTGGCAGAGCCTATGAGTGGGACCCTGAACAGGAGAGGAGCACTGTTTCATTTGAGGAAAACAGGGTTTGGGCAGAGATGTTATCGGGAACACCTGACTCCAGGTCTGACTGTCATTTAGAAAACCCTTACAAGGCATGGACAGGAATCCACACCCACTTGAATGTCAGGCGATGAGGTTTTCCCACCACAGCATTAAACTTGCTCCATCAGCAGAGGCCTACGCTCTATGATGGTGTCTGGGACAGGAACCGTGGCTCCTCACCTCCCAGGAATGCTTGGCATTGCTCTGGAAAACGCCGCAAAAACGGACAGGACAAGTGTGAGTTGGCCTTCCAAGGTCCAAGAGCTTCCCAGAGAAACCAAGGTTCATCCCACTCCAGGGAATGAGTGAATTGGGAAAAAGCACACATCTTGGTCAGAAAGGACACAGTGAACACAGAACTGGGAATGTTACCTGACCATTATGTCTGAAGAAGAGACCCAGCTGGGAGATGGAGGAGGCTCCAGGTCAGGCTGAAAAGAGTGGTGATTTCTGGAAAGTGGGGTGCTGGCTGTGTGAGAGCCAGCAATGCTGGGCTGAGGCTGTGGACACACCGAGTGTGAAAGCAGGGCAGGTGGAGGCACCGGAAAGTTCTGCTGGGCTCCAATGCATGAGGGCCTGGGGGGTGGGCCACCTTGTTTAAGGACATGGTATAGGTCGAGAAACTTTGTCCCCTGCCAGATCTGATACGGAATAAATCTGAACTTCCTGTGGGTCTCAGAGCGCCTTTGCTCTGGATTTCAGGGCGTTTATTTTCTTAGGCCCTGCCTATATTCTGATTAGCATCCAGAGTTGAACAACTTTTTGATCTCTGATGAAATCTCAAGTTTTGGAGCATCATTTAAGGAAAGAATGTGCAAGGAGAAAGGGAGAGCTCAGGAACAAAAAAGTAATCACACATAATAAGTCTTTAGAGATTAGCCATTAATTTGGATGTGAAATGTAAAATTGCCTTTAAAGAAATAAGGGATAATATCAGGCGATTGTAATACCCAGCCTGGGAAGTAACACACTGATAAAGAAGCATGGGGCAGAATAATACATGTGGAGGTCCCCTGATTTTTATGGAATTAATGATGTTGGTTTCACTTCACTGATTTAAGATACACATTTCATAAAAGGCACATGATGGCAAGTGCATCCGAATTGTGCCTAAAGAACTGAATAGTTAGGAAGTGGCAGGCCCTTGAACAGTCATTTTATCTTGTAGGTTTAATGCTTAATCAGTAGATATTTACAACTGTTTATTTTAATGTCTTTAAATGGCAGTTCAACAGAATTTTCAGAAATCTTCTAAGAGCAGCTTGTGAATATGTTTAGCTAACACTCTGATTTAGTCAGTCGACGCTGAAAGAGACTAAAATACCCTTAAGGAGAAGACTTGCTTTTGCTTTTTAAAAACAGTGCAGAAGAGCTCAATGTTAGAGGAGATGTGTTGTTCGGGTTTCACAGCAGAGTAGTAACCCACAGGCGTGCCTTGGCATCTGGGGGCACTGGTGCCAGGGTGCCCAAGGGCACCAACTCTTCAGGAAGCACAAATCCCTCCTAAAACAGCAGAGGATTCCTGTGTGACCGACACACACACCTTCTTGTATATTCTGGTATTTGCATATGGCCTACACATAGCATTTCTAGATTGCTCAAAAATATAAATGCTATGAAAATAGTTGTTTTATTGTGTTGTTTGAGGAGTAGTGCTAAGAAAAAATGTCTACATGTGTTGTGCAGATGCAGTTTTTTTCTTGAATATGTTCAGTCTGAGGATTGAGCCTGAGGATGTAGGATCTGTGGGTACAGAAAGCTGATTGTACATACCAAAGTGAGTCAAGACGAGATCACACCCAGGTTTGTCTCAAACCTTATAAACTTGAGAAATTACTCTGATGAAGTCTGCTTCTGATGTATTGGTTTACCAGAACAAGAGTCCAGCTGTCCAGCTTTAAATTTAAATATTTGCAGAGGAAAAATTATTCACTCATTTGTTCATTCATGTTGTTAGATTCATCCATACATGAGATGCTTATTGGGCACCTGCTGTTGGCCAGACACTGCTTTGAGTGTTGGGGATCCTGTAAAAAAGGTAAAACAAAACCGTAAATTAATCTCTTACATTCTGTATTTGTACATAATATATTGAATGTATGTATCACATGTACACATGGTATATATATGTGTGTGTGTGTGTGTGTGTGTGTGTGTGTACGTATATACATATAGTGATTACAGTCTTAGTAAGATTATCTAAGTGTAAAAGCAGCACTTTTGTGTTGGTTTATGGGTAGCTGTATCCATAGCTGTATTTTTGAGAACAAGTAGAAAAGTTTATTATTATACCAAAGTACTCCAAATATTAAATATGGATATCTTTGGCTTTGCAGATTAAGCTTATATTTTATTTACATCATTTGTGATTTTTAAAATTTTCCAAAATAAATACTTGTAATTTAGCATGGAAAAATAAATTAAGCCAAGCATGGTAGCACACATACAAACTCACTGCTCTAGGAAGTGAAGCTGAGGTAGAGAACACAAGGTTGAGCCCCGGCTGGGACAACTCAGTGACTTAGCAGGACCCTGCATCAAAACAGGAAATTTTAAAAAGATCTGAGAGGGAGCTCAGAACCCAGTACTGGATTCAGTTCCAGAACTACAAGAGAAAGAAAATAATCAAGATGATTAATCGTTACATAGCTAACCACATAGGTGAGTGGGATATTTTTAGGCAGTTAACCATGGCACATAAAAATCTTTCTCTAAGAAGCAAGAAATTTATCATCCCAAACTTGCCTTTGTTTGAAAGCTAAGATGCCTGCTCTACTGTTTGCCGTAACTTACCTTTAGTAAGAGCAGTTGCTCCTGATGAGACTTAAGGATTTCACGCTAGAAAAGAATTATTAAAATAGAGCTACTTTTGGCAACTTATAATTGGGTATGTGATGGTGACTAAAGGAGGAGATGTCTTCTTCATCTCCCAAGCCCAGGTGACAGCGGGCTCCTTTGCTGGTCTTTATTACTCAGAGCACAGGCTCGTGTCGGGGGCCCGCATGCCTCACCACGATGGGGAGCCCTGCTGATGAGCTTCCCAGTGAGCACGCTGAGGTGGTCATGGAATTTGGAGACCATTAGAAAACTGGGCGATTTCATTATTCATTCACTTGAAATAATCCCGGGGCTGCTTTCAGTGACATGGTTCCTTCAGCAAATAAAGATAAGCCAAATCCCTGGGCACTCAAAGAGGGGGAAGATTCTCAAAATTAATTCCAGGCTCAAATAATTCAGCAGTATTTGTAATATTCTGTGCATAAATTGGCAATTTGCTGGAGAGATCAGGAAATGATAAAGGCTTTCATTCCCCTCACCCCCCTTCTTCTTAACAACTGCTGAGGCAGCTCCTGGGAGAAAAGAAATGTTTTATCCTTCATAAATGTCCTATCAGGTAATGCACTGATTAAGGGTGTCCAAACAGGGCACCCCTCCCCCTTCACAGCAATTATTTTTCATCAGACATACTAAAATACACGGGGAGCAGAAGATAACTGTAATGTGGTTTTCAACCTAGGAAAGTTTTACATGAAAAATGTATTTTAATGGTATCAAGAAATACAGAATAAGGGTTCTCCCTCCCAGAATTTCTTCTTAATGTAAAGAATGTTTTAATTGTTGTGTGTGTGTGTGTGTGTTGTATGTGTTGTGTGTGTATGTGTTTTGAAAGATCATTTATCCCTTCCTGATTATGCCAGCTTCCAAATCCCTCAATCTAGCCACCCTCCTCTCTGGGATGCCCCCAGCCCAGGCTATTTGTGCAGCCTGAGCCCTAGCTGGAGAGCCCCCAGGGGACCAATCGTTCTTACCCCTCTTCCTCTGTACTTGGTACCAACTGTAAACCAGGCATGGAGGCAAACAGAGATAAAAGCATCCATTGAGTGGCAGGCAAAGTGAGGCTGGAGCACGTGGCTTACAGCACCCCATGATGCACACGGGGCAGTGCTTGCCTGACAGGCTTCCCTCTAGTGCCCCCTACCTTCATGCAGTCCGGCACAGAAGAGCCCCTGTGGGCTGAGCTGTACCCTTGACACCAATTCCAAGTCACAGGGATCGGACCACTTGCTCCTTGTGTGACCTCAGCAGCCGGGTGGCAAGAGAGAGCTGATGCCACCTTGCTGTGGTGAAGGAGGCCGAGCATCTTCAGTGACTCTTCTACCTTGCCCTATCTGACTTGTACCACTCTCTGGCCCCTGGCTCTCTGAAATCATCTGTCTGAGACACAAGCTAGCCCTGCCCTTCTCCTGCTTTCCAGTCCTGCAGGTGAGGCTGGCTTTCAACTCCTTCCTGACTCACCTATTTCTTGAGATGCTCTGGCCACACCCAGCTACCAGTGGGCCCCTCTCTCAGCCTGGGACTTTGTCAGTAGCCCACCCCTACTGTCCTGTTTGGGTTCCCCCTTCTTAGTGACTAATTCTTCTCCTTTTAACTTAAAAGTGTAGATTTAATCATAGTAGGTACTCATTGTTACATGCATAGAGGATGCATCTTTTAGAAAATCACTTAGGGCTAGATGTGATGGAGCATGCATGTAATATCAGCACTCAGGAGATCTAGGCAAGAGGATCACTACAAATTCAAAGCCAGCCTGCGCTACATATACATACTACAAATTCAAGACCAGCACTACATTGTGAGACCCTGTCCCCCAAAAGACAAAATAAATAAACAAATAGATAATTTTTAAAAATACAGTTTTTATTGAGTCCATCTGAAAGGAGATTGTGAGACTGACTTTTTACTTTTTTAGAACTTATTGAAATAAATATTTCTTAATCTAACTTTTCACTGTTTTAAAGATTGCCTTAAAATAGGCATGAGGTTTCTTGTTAATGGCATCAAATAAAATAAGAGCTCTTGCCTCCAATTGGGCCCTCCAAGATAAGCTGGGCATTCTTAACTCAGTGTTTGACTGAGGTAAAGGTTTTACCTTGCCTGAAATCTTACCCACCTTGTGACACAATCAAAATGGAGAGATGGGCTGGGGGCCACGTTTGCACTGGCAGTTTCTCAGCAGTCGATGAAAGTTTTGTGAGTATAAGGAAAGGGCAAAAGGATGTATCTTTACATTGGCTATAAGTGGAATCTTCCCATTCTTAAATCTACTCTTTTAAGCTATAAAGAGCTCTTCTTTGAAGTCCTTGACTCCCTAATACTGGGGTAAGAATGGTTGTGATTTATCCATAAGGACTTAGAGGAGAGGAAGGATGCTGGAGGCATTTTCCTGGTAACCTGCCCTGACTGGTCCAGCAGTTCCAGGCTATGGTGCTGGAACTTTCTATGGAGCTCAGGCCTGCAGGCCACAGCTACAAATGTCACATTTCAGTTTCTGTGCACAACATGCATGCCGCATCTTTAGGCCACCTAGAAAGACCAGACCTTTCTGTTTCCAAAATGATTGTCTTCAAACATAGAATAAAAACTTCTCCCAAGCAGGTTTTGTATGGAAGAAAAGCTTTTCGGAGACTAGAATGGGGAGGGAAAAAAAGACCCAAACTCCCTTCTATTTCAATAAGCAAGTTAATAAAGAAGATTTTTTGTTTTTTGTTTTCCCCTGTATTGTACTTGAGCTGATAGAAGTCCTACAGTGAGACAATCTGGGGGCTAGGGCAGCAGTTAGAAGCACCTCCCTCTTGATGCCTCTTTTTGTCTCCTCAAGGGCATGTTTAAGCTTCTTACTGTTGTCTTCCTGTATGTGAAGTTACTGGTTATATAAACTGCTAGCCCTTTAAATACTGGTTTACAAAATGATTTAGCTTTGGCATGCTAGACTGCTGTAAAAAGTTGGCCTCTAAAGGACCCATCTGAGTGTAAGATGAAGCTGTGTACATTCCTGTAAAACATTCTATGAGTCTCGGCATTTGGGGAAATTCTAAGGACTTTGGTGTTAAGCAGTAGTATCAAGGAAGTAGCATGATTGGGTTTTAGGAATAGCCCTATAAGTTGGCAATCCTCAAGCCATTCTTTTTCTTCTTGCAGCATGACTTTGCACTTAAAATAAATTATTCCACCCTTACAAAGGCAGTTGACTCTTCAAATTAGCATATTCAAAGGACAGTCTTCACAATGGTAAAATCTAGTGGCTCTTGTGGTGGCCTGAAGTGGCACTTGGTCAACTAGATACTGTAAAGCCTTTATTTACACTAAAGGGTAGGATTTTTGTGTAAATCAAATGATACTAGATCTTGTTTTTCCAACCAATTTATGCTATACTCCTTCTGTGTATCCCGAAACCACCACAATGTAACCTTTAAATTCTGATAGGGTACAGAAGCTGTCAATTCAGAAAAACGCAGCTTTAAATCTTACCTCTGAAAAATATAATCTGGATACTGTTACTTAAATTACTTTAATCTCTCTGATCTCAGATTTCTCATCTGTAAAATGAGGAATAAAAGACTCCTTCCCCTTGAGAAGTTACATGAAACTATGTATAAAACCTTGGATGCAGTTAAAAAAAAAATCAAAAAACACTTTTACCAAAACAATGAATTAGTGAAGAGCTACTGGATGCAAATGAATCTTAACTGTAATAAAAGGCAAAAATAAATTTTAAAAAGCTATGGACTGCTACTGAAATGTGAGAAAATGAAAATTTCTGCAAAGATTTGCTGGAATGAGCTTGTTTTAAGTGAAATTTATTGGAATGTAGTTTTTAGTCCTTGCCAGTAGAAGAGTTTCTAAATAATTCCCTTACTCTGCCCCAAAAGATGTCATATGATGGGTGAAGAAAGACAAATGGTAGCTATTGTAATTTTTGTATACATGCTGCTTTTAACTTTAAATTATGACTTGCTCACATAGCTACTATCTTTTATCTTCATATTTTTATTCCACCGCCATTATAGCCTGAATATATAAAAGACATTGAAACATTAGTGACATCAGTATTTATATTACTAAACATAGACTGGTATATGGTATCCTCCAGTTTAGGTGAGGAACACTTGTTTCCATGCAAAATTGCAAGCCACAGGGCCCACGGTAATGAATTTGATTTGTCTGTGGAAGGGCATTGTTCTGGTATTAGCTCTGTGA